TTATTTGAAGTTTGACCTTAATATTTTGGGTGGTCTTTCAGCCAAGGTTGTTGTCTTCAAATATAAATTGTTGATTCAACTTTAGTATATTAATTCGACGCAGTTCCAGACGATTAAAGTTTGTGAAATTCAAATGGGGGAAAATGCCAAAGTTGTCACTTCCTATCTTCCAAGTTTCACATTGAAACGTCGAACTTGACGCTTCCACCTTTAATCTTCAAGATTCATGCGTCAAAACCGTGCAACTGTTGTCAAGTTCAAAGTTCAGAACTTCAAATTTGGAGCTGTCACATCCTAGCTCCAAATTTTAGGTAACAGTGTTTTAGCTTCGAATTGATGCATCCAGTTCTAAATGTACTTGTAACCGTCACCATTGAATTTCAACGAAATTTTTGTTTAGGAAAGACTGTGAACTTCTATAGGTGAATTTCATTCTTCTACCATTGAATTTGATAGTTATAAATTCAATGCTTCTACCTTAATAATTAATATGTGTTTCTATTCTGTGTTTCGCCTCTTCTCTTCCCTTCTCATGATTAGTAGATGTAATTGCTTATGGAACCATTTTCCCTCGCCTCTTTTTTTACTTCTTCAGGCAGAAAAATTTTTTTTTAAAATGAGTAAGAATGTTGTAACATACAGGGTGTTCCAGGAGGAATTAGCAATAGTTTGGGAAATTAAAGTGGAGGTTATTTGAAGACAAAAATGCCAATAAACTATATTTTTACTCTCAACCGTTTTGAAGATATAGCCAATAAATTTTATTTTAACTAATAAACAATAATAATAATAGATCAACTGTCTCTATCCAACTATAGTCAGCTTGGGGCAACAACTGAGTTGTTTTAAATCAGTGTGATTGCATCAAAGGCTCAAAAATTTCATCTTATGCGTTGAGGCACAGATGCACTTCGCCACCCTTTGAATATAAATTTATATACAAAGCTTGGGCCTTATTCTTAAATTTTATGACATTTACTGGGTATATTTTCGAAACAGTTGAGAATAAAAATATAGTTTATTAGCGTTTTTTTGTCTTGAAATAACCTCTTCTGTAATTTCACACAATATTGCCCATTTCTCCTGGGACACCCCAGGGCTCCCATTCCATCCCATCCCATTTCAAAACGAACCACAGATTTATAATTTTGATAATTGATTTATTGATAATTTTTCTGCTTTTTTCATCGCTATTTGGCTCGTTATCGTGTCGAGGCTTGCACCAATGAAGGAATTAACTGCACATCAAAAAATAAATTGTACATATACACTCGTTATTTGTGAACCAATCCTGGAGAAATTTTAGGGTAGGATTCTTCCTATAAAATGAATTTCGAAGTACGCACGTCACACAAGGATTGCACATGTGCGACACCAACTGTCATATTTGTGGCCTGATTTTTACGAAATTTTAACAGAAGTTGCATCTTACAAATGGAAAATAAATGCACGTGTCGAAAAATTGATTACTTATGCGCAGGTCTAACTTTGTCATTTGTGTACAACTGGTTTCTGAAATGTTAACTGAAGATGCTTCTTACACCACGTCAAGGAATGGATCGTGGTTGTGCACGGTCAACTTTTTATTTGTAAACGGATTTTTCGAAAATTTTAGCAGAAGGTGGTACTTATAAAATTAAATTGAGCGAATATATAAAAAAATAGATTCAACTTTTTTATTTTTGGACCAACGTTTCTGAAATGTTAACAGACGATGCCCCTTATAAAAGAAAAAAGTATGGATCAAAGAAACCCAAAATTTGATTGAAGAAACGGTTAAATGTATTGATAGAGAAAAATAAAACTGGCTCTGTTGGAAACCACGGTTAACCTTTTAGGTCACGAACTTTTTGAAAAAAAAGATTGCGCGTGCGCAGTGCCAACTTTCTGATTTATGAGAAGTTTTTTTCCTAAAAAAAATCAATTGAACGTACATCAAAAACCAAACTGCGCAGTCGCAGACAAAAATTGCTACGCATCCACAGACTTATTTGTGACCCAATTCTCCAGAACTTTTAGCGTGTTATCTTATGGAAGCACATCAGTGAAATCACGTGACAAAAAGTAACTAATTTTTAGGACAAAGACAGCTGATGTGGAAATGTGTTTTCACAAAACGTTTATGATTACTTTTTGAACTTTTTATTACTCGCTGTTATTTGTGTTTGCTATACTTTGCTTTTGCTATTCGAGTTAGTTAAAATCGTATAGGTACACAGTTGAAATCTAATAAATAATTTAAAAATGGGTACAGGTAGAAAGAACTGAAATGCTTAGGTAATACTTTTGTAGGGATCTGAAAACCCATAGAACTGGCTGGCTCGAGCATTCAAATATGATTCAATGAAACGCATCCCCGTAAGAATATCGGGCGTAACAGCACCTAGGTATGTCACAGAGAGGGGAAGTTTCAGTAGGTAGGTAGGTCTAGGTACCGTAAGTATACCTACCTTAAAAATGTTACACGGTCGAGAATTTTGGATGAAGTGTGCGAAATATTGAGGTGCTCGCGGTCAATTGACACCTACGTCATCAATTCCCTAAAATTCTATGAATTACCTAATTAGTTTCTTCCATACAGGGTACATCAAGATGTAATTGACTTCTGCAAATTAATGTCCCACAAAGCTTAACGAAGATTCTAATTTTTCCAAACATAGGTATCCGGTTTAGCGACAAATGTACTTTTTTCTTGAACAGATTTGTTTCGAGAAGATCGCATCAAATTTCCCCATTTCAAATGGGCCGAGGAATCTATTGGAAGAAGTACACCCGCTGTTCCCACAATTTTTAAAGAGTCAAGTGGACACAGAATATTTGCGCTTCCAGCAAGATTATGCAGTGGCTGTTAGGCAGGAAATGGAAAATCCGCTCAAGTGATAATGTCCATATTCGGCGCGTACTACTTAGTCGAACCATAATCTTATGAAGTTTGAAGAAAAAACGTATGACTAGAAATTTTATTTTAAAAAAGATGATTTCGGGAAAGGTGTAATACAAAACTTGTCAGTGAAAAGACACTATACTTGACTCGGAGATTAAAGAACTCGGCTCCAAAGGGACCTCGCGCTTCAATATTTCCTCGCCAGTAATGTGTCACTTTTATGTACTTATAACAACTATTTTCAAAAGGTGAACCTTGTAAAATTCATTTATTTTGTATTTGTCTTTTTTTAACTAATTCATAACCAGACCACCCGAATTTGATGGAGGGTTGCGTGTGACTACGTTTTGTTATCTCCGTTGGGAATTGGATTTAAATGTTATTTAGTAATTTATTCCATCGGCATCAAATGGCCGTAATCCACAATCGACTAAGTATTTTATTTTTGATAGAAATAAGCTTCTCCAGCACCGAAAACATTGATATGGGAAATGACATTTTTTCGTATACGATAATCTTGTACTAAAAACCATTACATGAATAAGGTTTTCTTACTGGAGTGAAGCTTATTGATGTTACAATAGAAATGAAGGATTTCAACACTTATTGAATGCTAATAATTAATTCTTTTTGTAACAATGGAACCAAAGGAAATAAACATTTTGAGTAAAACGGCTTACGATAAGTATTGACAACACTTTGTTTCCATTACGTTTTGATTGAAAATTTCATTTTATTTAGATATCCGCTGTAAGTAACGTGCGATATGTAGGTGTACCCGAAAGAATACCAGTGAAGTGAGACAGTTTTCTTATATCAAAGGTTCAACCAGTAGGTAGGTACCTTGTAAGTACATCAGAAGTATAAATTTTATTCTCGCATTCGGAGTTTACAGGGGAAATTGCAATTTTTTTAAAAATCAAAATAAAGTACAATGTGCAGGTTGTAAAATCGCAACTTTTGTTAACAAATACCTCTAGGTGGAAACTTGTGCTGTTCAAGTCATGTGATTTGTCATGCTTGATTGCTTATGTTTTGGAGGTTTATATAGCTCTTGTTGGATCGTTGCATGGTGAAGAGAATTTAAACGAAATCAGCAGAAATCGTCCAAATTAGGTAGGTAATCTACACTCTACACAGGCATTTATTGATTAATTGGCATTCAATGAATATACAAAATAATAAAAATTGTATGCAATACCTACAAATTACCTACGCATAACGAATAAAATGAGTAGGTAGTAATGGAAAATGTGATCGATTTCGTATTTTATTTTCTAGGATTAGATTATATCGTCAATCTGGTGAATTATAAAAATGGGTAGGAAAATCTTTTGGCACTTAGAAAATATGATTTGAATAGGTATAGGTAAACATGTTTTGCAAACTCACTTTATGCCTGAAACCAAATAAAAGAACCAAATCCAAAGAAAACTCAATCAAGACGTAATTAAGAAAATAATTACCTCACCTGGTTAAGGACAGACTATAGGATAATGCACACACCCGAGGCTAAACCGACTTAATGAACAATCAGAAACTTGTTTTCTGTAGAATAGCTTGGAGCGTCGTCAGGATGCTGTCGTCGCGACGGGAATGCGTCCGACGCTGCTGCAGGCGACCGACGCTCTTTTGTGCGTCGTCGCGCCAGTTTTCCGGCACAATGGCGTCAATTTATCGTCCAATCAAAAGCGGTTATACCACATCCATTCAGGCAAAAGTAATGCCGACACGCCTCGCGAAATATATCCTGGGTTTTGTAACGTGCTACATGCACATTGCGGCTAATAGCATCTTGCGCCACTAAAAAATATTTTGATAAAATCAAAGTAAAGGCGAAAGCTGCGAAACGGCAATCCCGAACTCCTTTTTTTTCTCGACCGTACCTATAGATCCCTTTTTCTCAATTTGTCAAATTCATATCCACGATGTAAATTACCCGCAACCTGCGTACGTTCAGGTAGTGGCCGTCAATACATGCCGTCCCGCTTACAAAAGTCCCTCTCTATTAACACAGGGCGTGTCGAATTTTCGAGACGCCCGAAAACCCGGATCAAAATCACCCCTTGTACGGCTGACTGATACTCTGCAGAAGCCAGTCTTCGGTTTGCTTCGCATGGTAGAGCAGCAGTCTTCACCCACACGGGTCTTAAGCACGTGCCAACGCAACCGAAAGACCAGTGGACCACGATTGAACGGGTAATTACCGCTAAATCAAGCGGAATCGGTACGCGTCTGTGAGTTCACCCGCAAGGATAACGCGAGTTTCGGCTTTGTTTACCAAGGACCTTTAATTTTGTTTGGTTTTTGTCAAAGCTTTTTCTGTTTTACAAAGGACCTTTGAAGAACTTTTCTGTGCTTTTCATTTTTTTAATATACGTTTGATATTAGTGCAGAACTTTCCAAGTTTTCCAAGTGCGACGACAGACTTTATGAAATGAAAACGCGTTACTGTTTAATAATACACTAAGGTAAGCTTCTAATGGACGTTTACTGTTTTCGAAGATGCGATTCTGCGATAATAACGGTCCTCGAGAAACCTTTAAGACCAACAATTTCTTTAGGTTAATAAAAGGCATTAGAACCTGTTCCATTTTCGTTCTTTGTAAATAACGCCAATAAGCAGCTTAAAGAGACAATGTACCCGTTGCCTATTGAAAACTTATTGAGGAATTGTTTGGCGGGATTAACTTTGGCCAACAATAGGCCTCCTAAATTGTTTTGCAAAAACTATTATACCTAACTACAAATCACCCAAAGGTACAAATTCGTTTATGAGACAGGACGATCGTAAAACCATCATCAACATCAGAAATAAAAGATACAATTGTAACAATTTCATAACAGTACAGTAACGATCTGATACCTATCTTGTTCGTCCATAAAGTTATATTCAAAATAGCGTATCGAGAGATGGGTAGTTAATTTTATGGCCCGAAAAAGTTTTTTTTGTGCAATAACGATGACAATAAAAAAAAGTTATATAAGTGTAAGCAGTAAACTTGGGTCTTTTATGAGAAGTTTATTTGAAACTCTATTAAATCAAAATTTCCCCATAAAATTGATTCATCGGGTTTAAGTTACCCTCCAATACAAGAGATTAGCCAGATTTCTATTAGAGGATGATGGGCCTCGCAGTTATTATGGTCTGAGGGTAAACGATATAGAAACGCGCGGACTGTGGATTTAACAAATTTTTCAGGTTGCGGCAAAACATCAAAAGTACAAAAAAATGTGCTTGACACATAATTAAAAACGAATTTTTATGCGGTGGATTTTTAAAGTTAATGATGTAGGCATTGAAAAGAAGATCAAAGGTGCAAAAATAAAACGAATACCTTTGCAAGTAAACCGTCGCTATAAATTCAGAGAACACTTAAGGGATGCTTGAACGGGCGAGGGTGCCATTGCAGACATTACTACAAATGCTACACATAGAGAGCTGAATGCACGTACTTGCTTTAGCGAATTTGTAAAGTTCCCGAGTTATAAAAGATTGCTTTTATGTCAAAACTTTTAATGCACGCGGCACTGTAAAAATGTAACGAATTCACAAAATAACCTTTATGTGTTTTTTTAAAAGGGGACTTCAAGTACAGCGCAATGCAAATGGGGATCACTCATTAAATCATGCTAAATAACCGATTCAAGCAGTTGCCTTCTAACTCTTTCAAATCCCGTAGTAGGTACCTACAGCAATTTAAGACTTAATAACCTATAAGAAATTAGGTCTAAAAAATCTTGAGAAAATAATCATTTATTAAAAAAATGCAGTGTAGGGAAGCATCACCTAAGTATAGGCAGTACGGTACATGCAAAACATTAAAAGATATACATGTTTGGTAGCGTATACTTATGTTTTAATTCTTCAGTATTTTTTGCACATTTTTTTCAATTTTGGAAAATGCTTTCATACCATAGGTATATACGAGTATATCAATGAGTGCAGTTATAACGATTGAAGGCAATTTATCTGTGAATTCTGTAAAATCCGTTATTATTTAAAACTGCGTTAATGCATTTGAACCTGCATATATTTATCACTGTTCAGCAGTGAATTGCAGCCATTTTCAGCATTTGTTGAGTTAACACCATTTGTTACAGTTATTTGCAATTTTGCATCTGCATGTAAAATGCGACTAATAACAGAATACATTGTCATGTTCCGTAGCGCTTCTGGCTCTCATGAAAACAATAAATGAACATCGATTTGTATACCTACCTAATGCAAAAATTGAACATTTTATCTTAGAAGACCAATTTCTTGAGATCCGACATAACTTTCTATTAACGGGTACCGATCATTTTAAAGTTATTACAATATGTACAAAAGGTATATTCATCCATGTATAAACACGTCCAAAGAAGTCACATTTCATTGATAAATTGCAAAAAAATGGTGTTACTAACTTAGAAACAACGAAGTCCAATATAAGTTGAAGAATGAAATTGTTTCTGGCATCACTCTCAAAACCTTTGTAGAATGCCACTTCTTTTAAAAACGGATGTCCGTACTCTTTTCTTGTTTCTTGATTCTCAAAGCTTGATTTCCTTTTTTGTATAATCATTGATAGAGGATCGTCAAATTTAAGCATAGTTATTTAGTAAAAAAAACCTGGTCAATCCATGTCCAAAGCTTTCGGTTCCTTATTGTTTATTCTGTTGTATAGAAAAGGTTCTATAAAAAATGCCCGGTATTTTTTAACTAAAGTTTCTCTAGGAACGTGTTTTAGACAAGTACAATAGTTCATCAAGAATAAATCCTGGCGATTTTCTGTGGACATTCGAAATTGATTTACGCCAATGACTTTTTTTAATTTTTCGTAATGCCTCAGACGAATAGCAAATGTGGCATTTCAGTTGCTTTTCTCTGGGGATAAATGGCGATGTTTGACTGTATCGCATTCATTTTAACACGACAATTTCATCGTTTGAGTTGAAGTAGGTACCTACCGCTCTTCATCACTCACTTCAGATCTCAAATAAGTCAATATCTATTACCGTTCTTCAGTTTTGTTCTATACACGATACCGAACACAAAACACGAGAAATAATAATAAAATTAATTAATTTATTTATTTAATTGACCTGTTCGGTCCCAGGTAGGGGAACACAGCCTTGAATGTCCAATGAATGGATCAGAGGCAACCAATCTACCTAACAAGAACAGGTAATGATACATACCTATGTACCTACCTACATTTTTTTAAAACAATTTCTCATACTTTTTCTTCAATAAAAATGGAATAACATTTTAATTTTATATTATTGTCGCTGTGACGAAATATAGAATCGCAAAGTGGAAAAAATAAATAATCATCAGACCGAAACACTACTTCAATATTCTACACAACGTGGAAATTGAAACACTAAATATATCTTCACAACAATATGTTTTTAAAGAAGCTTTTTATGGTATGCAAAATAATAAAAAGTTTGACATAATTTAAAGTTGTAGTCAAGCAGAGTCAAGGGTGGTATACTTATATATGTTACAGGGAAAGTGCGAAATCAGGTGTTGTATACTCTCCCTGGTGATTGTACACATTTACTAAAAAGACTAGTCAAAGTAGGATCCAATTCAATAAACCTACTTTCACTAGTGATTTTATACAATTACTGTTTGTCTCTAGTGGAAATAAAATGCCATTTGGTATATTGCACAACGTGACATAAACATAACCTAAAAGCTGTTGTAACGTGCGATTGAGACTGTTTTGTTTTGTTTGTGTGTGTTTTTCGTAGTTTATGTCAAATTCCAAACGATGTTTCTGCAAAAAAACAAGAAAAACTGTGCAATTCTAAATGTCATGGTTCATTGCCTTGTTGTCACAAATAGCATCTTCTTCATCATCTTCTCTATACCCATCCATTGTTACCTTAGAGTGGGTATATTACTTATCCATTAGTACTTCGATCGATACGTTGTTTTGAATTGTATGTATAATGCTTGTTTCACAATAAATTTTATATTAACTATTACAATTACTCATACGTAATAGTGATTGTGTAGAATACCTAGTGATTTTATACAGGGTGTTTTTTTGGGAGCTTTAGTTAAAAGTTTCTGAGAAAGTAAAACAGGTAGGTTTTTGAAAATTTGTACTTAGGAGTTACTCTGAAGGCCGAATCGATGTAAAATATTTTCAAAATGGCCGCACTTCCGGAAACACCGGAAATAGATAGTAACTTCGTTATTTTAAATGGCAACCCCTATTTTTTATTGCATTTTTGGATTCTACGTGAAATTTCACTTCTTTTGATACCCATATGTCGATATCTACCATTTATGGTTTTTAAGTTATTTTGACTTTAAGAAAAAAAATGGCGGATGCAGATGGTACCTTGATAATTGATTACTTGCAAACGGTTTTAGTCATGGCAACCTATTTTTATCAGTGCATAGAGAATGAATAGGGCTTCCTTTTTGTGCACTTAAAAAAAAGTTAAGTTGCGTACGACCGCCCCTATGGATATCCAAATTTATGAAACTTCAAAGACTAAAAACTCAGTTTTTTTAAGTAGAATGACCATGTTCTTACTATTCCATGAGATAGAGAATCGAAATGGGCATATTTTGACAATACATGTTCCTATAGCTATTTTTAACAGTTTCTGACTTATTCCCATTTTATTGAATTGACACTATTTTTTTAGGATTTTCTTTTTAGTAGTCGGCCATGATTCTATAACAATTGAATTTTAAACAAATCTAGTGACACTAATCCATCACCCACTGTTATAGGTTAACAAGTTTTTCAATAATCGAAAAATGACTCGCAGTGGTTTCATCTATTTTGAAATTTAATTATTATTTATGGTGAAATGGGCAGAATCGCGGCGCGTGCTTTCCGTACATTCATTCGAAAACTAGAACGAAATTGTATGAATTTTGGAAATTTTGTACCCCTAATGCACTACAAACCGTTGAAACACAAGTGATACAAAGCTCTACAAGAGAATATTTAAGAAAATTAATTGAATTGAAAATGCAAGATTAACAAAATAAATTCAATGCAAAATATAAAAAACTTCGTTGAAACATTTTTGGTATGGAATTGTTGCTAGAACAGATATCGTATTACCTCTCTTAATTTCCAGACTTATACGTTGTTTAAGAAATTCAGTTGAACGACTCTGTTTAGATTTTTCAAAAATTTTCTGTCCTATATCCTTAATAAATGATTTATTTATTAATGAATTATTTAGACTAGAACTAGAATCAGTGGTATTAAAGAATCCATTCCTTGATTTGTTTAAAATTCGATTGTTATAAAATCATGGCCAACTACTAAAAAGAAAATGCGAAAAAAAATGGCATCAATTCCTAAATCAATTCAATGAAATGGGAATAAATCAGAAACTGTTAAAGATAGCTATAGGAACATGTAATATCAAAATATGCCAATTTCGATTCTCTATCTCATGCAATATTAAGAACATGGTCATTCCATTTAAAAAAACTGAGTTT